TTCCTGATTCTAAAACTTTTGTCATTAATCCATGGCACCTCCAGGAGTTAGAGCCACTGGCAGTATTCATAGCAGTTATGAGACAAGTTCATGACTGGGCAATCTCAGTCAGATGGACATCTGGGATAATTGAATTCATTTCACCTTCTTTCCTTGGTCCATTCTTGGGACCTCGGCAAACACCCTCTTGGGACCATTCAGTTCTGGCATCTGGGGCACACTTCTCAATCCAAGAGGCTTGGATAGGCCGGGAGAGTATAAATTTGGGGGAAACTGGCTTTATGCAGTTGCTGCCACAGTGTGACATTCTCTCCAAGTACACACATGCACATACGAGGGCTACATAAAACTGGTCTGGGAACACAGAGTAGAAAGTCAGGGTCTCTATCATCAGGGAAGCCACTGGAGAGTGGGGATGAGGCTTGGAGTAATGGGAACACATTGTGGTACAGTTTTGGACAAAGGCTGTTGGGCAGTGGCCATTGGAGAGCTTCTTTCAGAAGGCAACTGTTGAGCCAAGCTGTAAAGACTGTAGGAACCCAGCAGCTGGGAGAAGGGGATGGCTGGTCCAGTGAGCAGGACTAGCACATGCTAGCACATGCCTAGGTGGAGGTGACTGAAGCATAAGAATAACAACAGACATTTGTATGCCCAGGACTATAGGATGGGAATGGTTCTCCAGGTCTTGCAGATGAGAAAACTAATTCAGCATAAATTATTTTCTTTTAAGAAAATTATGGAGAGACCTCGGACTGCATTACTTCGGGGGTCTGAGAGAGTGGTCGACCCTCATCCTAGGCACACAGTTTTTGGAAGAGAACCTTTTACATTTAGAGAAAATTTTATGCCGTTGGGTGATTTAGGGAAAGTTTGTGAGTGTCCTTTGTGTGTGTTTGTATGTGTGTATGTGCAAATGTGTATGCACATATATACCTACATATATACACATACATATATGTACACATATTTAATATATCTAAAATGTTATTGAATATATCTAAAATATTGTTAAGTATATATACATATACTTAAGATATATTAAATTTACTTTTACAAATACAAAGAAGTCCTCTGTGTCATTGTTTCCTTACCTTGGGTGCGTATTAGAATCACCTGGAGGACTTGTACAACTCAGGATGCCCGGGCTGTAATCCAGATGTCTGAATGGAACCCAGGCATCATTTTTTTTTTTTTTTCCAGCTCCAGGTGACTGTGAGTGCCCTGGACTTCACATCAGTTGTTAAAGCATACTTTTCAAAATGTCATGATTTAAGAAGCATTGCACGGGTAGAAGATTATGCAGATGTAACAATGGATCAGGTGCTCACCTAGGACTCCCAAGTGTATATGTTTTATGAGTTTAATGTATTCATTAATTCAGCAAATAATAAACAAGCAAGCAGGCCTAAAATAATAGTTTCAGTTAGTGATAAGTGCTATAAAGAAGTGCTATAAATAGAAAAACCAAGCTAGGTGGGAGAGTAGAGAGAGAGGTGTGTGTGTGTGTGTGTGTGTATGCACGTGTGCACAGATGCTGGTGTGTATTTACACTTGAGCAAATGTGCTATGTTAGATTTTTTTATAGTGTTCTCAGAATATGCACATTATAACTGTGTTATCAACAAACTGTAAAAGAAAGACAGTACTATTTAATGACAGAGAAGTAATTAGTAGCTATTTGGGAAAATCAAATTAAATTTGACCCTATTTTCATACCAAACAGGAAAGTTATATGTTAATAGATGAAAAAACTTAAATGAAAAAAATAGCTAAGCCATAAAAATGAAGAAAATATTGAGAAGTATCTATCTGACCACTGAAGGGAGAGGAATATTCTAAATGTTTAAATAATGGAAAAATCACAAAGCAAAAGAATGATAGGTTTGACTGCATAAATATTAAACTGTTCATATGTTAAAACATCAAAAGAGGAATTAAAAGGTGAACTAAACAAGTTGAAAAAAACAGTAAACATCTAAAAACTGGGCAAAAGGCATGAAAAGATAGTTTATAAACATGGAAAGAAAATAGCTAAAAAATGCATTATTAATACTTTGCTTCTTCATATCAATAGAAATGTAAATTTAAAAAACCATGAGATACCATTGTACTAATTTGAATACTTACTTAGATTTCAAGAATGAGAATGCTCAGTGCTTATGTGGGTGTGGTAGGTGGACATTATCTTGCACTGTTGGGGGAGTATGAATTATTACGTTTCTGGAATGCTGTTTGGAACGAGGCATTTATTATGTTTAAAACATATTCTTTGACTTATAGATTGTACTGCCATGTAGTAACACCAGGAAAATAAGAAATGTAGATAAATAATAATAACTAAGCTTTAAGTGATATTTATTATTCACCAGATACTTTGCAATGGTAATTCATGTAACCTTCACACCAGCTCTGAGAGGTAGTATTGTTATTCCCTTTCATAGAAAAAGAAATTGAAGAACAGAGAGGGTAAGTGACTTGCCTAGCATTATTCAGCTGGTAAAAAGTAGAGTGACAATTTAAATCTTCCAGTCTGGCACCGAATGCCATGCTCCAAAAATTGATCCATACTGCCTCACACAAGAAGATAGTCATGGAGTTATTTTATAATAAAATATGTCTTGTAAATTATAATGTATCTATATGAGGGAATATGTGGCAATTAAAATGATGTTGACAGAGATTTTTATGACACAAGAATATGCTCGTTTATTAAATGGAGATTGCAGAATATGACATTATTTAAATATCATCCTAATTATTTGGAAATATATAGAAAAAGTACAAAAAACATGCTAAAGTGTTATGTATATTGAACTTATTTTCTTCTTTTCAACCTTCATTTTATAATTGTCCTGTAATGGGCATATATTACTTTAGAAATCAGAAAAAAAAACAAATTAAAAAGTGAAGGAAGAAGAAAGAAATTTAAAAATTATGTAAAGGCAAAAAATGATGTCAACATTGACCATAACACTAAAAAAATCCTCAAAATTTCTACATGCAAGAAATTTAATAGTTATATCCTCCTACATATATTTTATTACTGACATTTATTCTGAGATTTTTCAGAAAAGCTTTTCTTTGGAAGTGAGTTCTATTATTTAATATCTTAATCTTTTAAATCCACAATAAATTCACTAAAAAAGTACATATGCACATATGTAGAGTGGTGCAAATATCAGCTAACTTGTATACTGGAATCTTAGCATGTTTCATATTGAAACTCGGAGTTAACGCACCAGAATGTTGAGTTATCTCATAATAACTTCATCTCTTACTAGACCTTGAAGTTA